CTCTACGTGGCACAGCAACTCCTCCTGTCTAAAATTACCAAAGATTTGATGACTAAACCGTGGATGACATCAAAAGACAATTTTGATTTTAGCTCTTGAATGTCCCGGAGGTTTTCCCACTTCTTTCTGTGCCACCATTTGCTGCCTTCCCATCAAGTGACCCATCCATTGTACCCTTGGTAGAAAACCCTTGCCTTCTGGGTTTCAAATCAGGTTTATCAGTCTCCTTTTACCTCACCAAAAGTAGCTCAGGCATCTGCACATAAGCTGCCTCAGCAGAGAAACAAACCTACTACCTGGCCCAAAGTCCAAGGATTTAGCCCATAAATCTCAAGGCTTTGATTAATTCCTTTCCTTTGATTCTTTTTTCCTTCGCAGATGTTAACATTTTCCAAGCAGTTACATGTTACCTTGGTGAAGTGCTAAGAAAATAGAAACCATGTCTGCAATGACACAAAGGATAAAGTAGAATAGCAGACATTGGTTTAATGCAGCAGTCAAGATTAGATAAGCAGCATATGCCCAAGGCTGGATCTGAGAAATTAGCAGGAATGCAAAAGACATCTTTAGCACGTGTTTCTGATATAAAGTCACTTTCACTCAGAGGGGAAATCTGTTGTGTGCTAATACCGATATTTTCTCCTCTGATCCATCAGGTGAAAACATATTGGAAGAGGCAGGATAATGGCATTTCACCAGCAGCACAGTTCTCTTGCTAGAAATAGATTTATTGTGCCTTCTCAGTCAAAACTGATAGCATCCAGCATCCTCCCATTTACCTCTCGCTGCTCCTGTCATCTGGCATTTTTCTATAAACAGACAATGATTTAAGATTTCAGCAGAAATTAAATCATTTTGCCTGGTAGAGGATGGTAAGCTCTGAGGCTGTGCAATCTTGATTATACAGATTTAACATGAAAATACACATGCAGCTAAAATTTGCTTCCTTATTTTCCCAAGATTTAGCAATTCAGGAACACAGTTGTTCTCATCATTCATTATCACAATAATGGTGATCAGGAAAAGACATATTAGCCACGCTTAAATTATTTATTTGGAAAAGTATGTTTTCATATGGAAGTCCTATAATCAAATTTGGAAAGACATAAAGGTTTTCACATTACACTCTGTAGCTGATGTGGGGCAATACAGATGTACCCAACATTTCAGAGAAATCTGGGATTCTTATTGAGACCAGCAATCCCAGTCCCAGCTGCCCTCAAATAAACAGTTTCCACTGGGAATCTCATGGCTTTGCCAGTGGAAAGGAGATGAGGTTTATTTCCATTCCTGAGGGCTGTGCAGAAGGGATGGGGGCTGCTCAGAGCACGCTGTGGGTGCTGTGGATCCCACAGGCAGGCTCTGCTCTGTCCTCCTGACTCAGCCTGTGCCGCAGCCCCAGCTCCCTCCGTGGGAGTCTGGCAAGAGGAGCTGTCTATTTTGGGGACTCAAATTAAAGCTAAACAGGAGAGAACACTCCTACAGACACAGAAATCTCTTGCAAAAGAGCGGCTGAACAACTGGACCATTTCTGCAATTATTTCTGCGTATTTTTCAGCCAGATCTTGTAGAGCCTCAGTGGTTTTGCAGTGGGGTTAAACAAATACATGAGGCATCCATTCCCCCTGGTCAGCCCTGAGCACTGCTCTCAGACCACTCCTACCTCTAAATTCCCAGTTTTATGTCTATATTATTCTTTTATGCAAGAATCAAATTCCATAGCACACTGATTTCCACAAGGCAGTCATTAACCTCAAATATCTGCTGCTCACCTGATGCTGCTTCCAACATTATCAAAATCCCAGGGCTGGAATTCTCCCCTCTCCCTTCTCCCTTCCCACTAAAGGGCATCACAATCCATTTTTTATAAGTTTGTATACTCCCACACAGCCAGGGCTAAGGTGGTGCTGCTGTGGTGTGTGTGTATCTCATAAAAGAAATTCTTTTGCCAAAGAAGCCCCACAAATTATAGCCTGAGGCATAAAAAAGAGAGATCTAGATCCCAACTCAGATTTAGATGTGAACACACTGTGATCAAAGATCTTGGAACTAAAGATAATTACAGCCTACTGCAAACATCATTGCTGCTTTAAAAATAAATCAGGCTGGTTAGAATCTTTTCACTGAAAGCATTTCCAAAACCAAAATGGGAGTTGGATCCAATACAATTTTGGGAAAATACTGGGTTTCTAATATTTAAAAAGATATATTAGAAATCTGCAGATTTTTGTATTAATTGCATTTTCACTTGAAGCAGATACAATGTTGACATTTGGTTACCTTTAGAAATCACCCACCCAACATTTCAAGTGAAAAAAAAAACGTAAGCAGAAAAGGTTCAGTTAAAAATTTTAGAAGGAAAAGAACACAGCCTAAAAAAAATTGAAAAAAGGAGCATGATTGGAGAAAAATAAGCTTCTAAATCAATAATTATAGGATGACATTTTATTTATAAAAGCACAGGTTTTAAATAGGCATCAGCCTTTTAATGTGGGAGCCCATCATGTTGTCACCTGTACCACTGCAGCTCCATCACTGGTGACACTGTCTGGTGACACACTGGAGTTCTCAAGTGTGAATGTCTCACCACACCAGTTAAGGAAATTATTCCTATCATGCACAATACCTGCATTTTATAAATTACATGGATGAAAATTGAAAATCCTGATTGCTCTAAGCACAAAATTACTGGGATAAATTTAGCAGCTCTTCAGATTTTCAGGGTTCCTACGCCATCAATCCCTCTCTTTCCTCCTGTTATTACCACATTAAGTTAATAAGGTTATAGCCAGGAGAACTATCACAAACAGAGTCAGCTGGTAACTAATACAAATAATTTATTTCAGTTCTGAGATTAATCAATATATGACCTAATTTTTCTAGCTGTATTTTCCTCTATGTGCAGAAACTGCAGAGAATCTCAATGGCCACTTCAAAATCCTATTTAAAAATTGAACACTAGAGATCATATTTTCCAAACCTGCCCCGTCTGTCTCTCCTAATTAATGATGTGGTGCACTAAAATAGAGTATTCTGTGTATTCTGCAGAGTGTTGCTTGAAGTTTGACTTGTATGAGTGCCATTGGCTTTCACAGCTGTCGCCATGAAAACCCCAAATCATTGTAAAAAAAAAAGAAAACCACAGATGCCTGTGCAGCAGAATAAAGGCAGAAGGAGCACACTGAGAAATGACTCTGCCTAAGCAAGTGTGCCATCAGTGCTGTGCACCAAAGGCTGCTCCTCCAAACTGGGCTCCAGCCAACAGCAGAAGTGACAGTGATGAGGTTTCTGTGCCATTTATCCTCAGCCCTGAGCCTGGCAGCAGAGTTAGCACCAGCACCCTTCAAATCAATCCAGCAGAAGGACAGGGATGAGTCATTTTGCAGGAGAAGTTAAAAACCAATCAGCTGAGAACACTTGCGATCACAACCCCTTCTGTGGCCACCTCAGTGGCAGCTTCCCCAAGAGCAACTTGTGACCACAGATTCTTTTTCTGGTGGATCTTTTCATAGCTGAGTTCTGTTTAAAACCATCCAGCTGCAGAATCTGAGCCCCAGAGCTCAGGCACTAACTCAGCTGTCGCTCTGGACCCAGGGCTTTTGCACAGTGTGACATTTGCACTGATGGATGATGTACCCAAACACCGTGTCCATGTAATAAATGCATATGAATGAGTAAGCACATTTCATTCCCAAACAAAAATCATGCCTAGGAGGAGGAGAAATCAACAAGATAATTGGGGGAGAGGGGTCAGGGGAGAGAGCTTTTCTAATTAACCCTTAAACTTCCGAGAACCCTAAAAGAGTAGACACTTAGTCAATGCACAGAGAACTAAAGATCTGCATTGTCTCTTTCCTTCCCATCCATACCAGCCCCTAACAATGCTGATCCTGCACAACCTGTTGTGACTTGGTGTAGGCAAGAATCACTGCACTTGTGCCCACAGATTCTGGCATATTCTGGCCTGTTGGTCACAGCTTTGGCTCCTGCCCCTGAGCCATACTGTGCAGCAGAGCTGTGGCAGCATTGCACCTCTATCAGTCCATGCATGATTTAATTCAGCTGGTGCCTTAAGTAATGGTGAAACCTTGCCCACACACGACACAATCAGCAGATCCTCCAGATCCCTTGGGGTTTGTTCCACCAACACAGCTCATCCACCTGTGTGCCACAGCTTAGCCACTACTGTTCTATTTCAGCGGCTTCTTAGGGAAAAGAAAATTCTCTCCCTTCTCTCCATCAGCACATTGTCTTCCTCTTCCCCATCCCACTGGCTGAGGCAAGAAGGAGCAGGAGCCAAGTGAGCCCTGAGGCATGTCTGGCACAGCAGCAGCCCTTCTGCTGTGTGCTGTGCCCAGAAAGCTCTCTCCGGCCATCGGGTGGTCCAGGATCCATAACTTGAGAACCACTGACAGGGAGAAACAGGCTTTCTCTGTTCTACTCCAACACCATTTGGTGTTTTCTCTTACAGGCTGTTCTCTCCACCTCACTGCACAGAGAAAACACCCCAGAGTATCCTGTTCAGAGCCACTTCCTCGCCCTACATCCCAGTGGATGCAGCTTCTGAAAGGAAGCAGAGTCGGCAGGGATGGAGTACTTTTGGGAATCATTCCCAGCATATGGAGACTGCATTCTGCAGCAAGCAAAGGCAGTTCCCTCAGCAAGTGGAAAATGGGCTTCACCTCCCTGTGGTCTCCCTGTGGTTTGCTTCCCTTGCGATATTATTTTTGAACAGCAGGCAGGAGCTCTGTGCTTCTTGTTCTGTTTAGTAAATCCAATAACCAAACCTGGCCCACTTCTGGGTGGTCCTCCCAAAATACCCAAAATCCACGCCAAGGCCATGTGATATAATAATCATAAGAAATACAGGGATTGCTTTGACAGACACCTCAAAATCAATTTTTCAGGAAATGGGATGTTTCAACCAATGTGTCCATTCCATATGGATTTGTCCCCCCCTATTTCTTTTACTTATTCAGTGCCTTTGTCCTTCATTCCAGTAAAGCCAGAATTACAAGCCTGGAAAATGAAGATCACTGGTGCATGATGCTTCACTTGGTCTTAGGCTGTTAGACTGCACAAAATGCCTCCCAGGTTAAGGAATTCAGATCTGGATTGCTGGGCAGCCCGACTGCTTTCATGACCAAGAAAAAGAAAGAGAGATGTAAAAAGCCATCCATAAAAAGCCAGCCATGAAAACCCAAACGTAAGCATGGTTTCCTTTTATTTTCCTGAATACTTTGCGGGTACAGTCAGCGCTGATGGGCTGCCCGGGGCAGGCGGGGATG